AGAGAGAGAGAGAGAGAGAGAGAGAGAGAGAGAGAGAGAGAGAGAGAGAGAGAGAGAGAGAGAGCAAACAGAACGATGGAAAGATTTGAATGTTTGGCAAGACGGAACATTCCCGAAAGAATCACGTTCAAAAACCAATGTCACTTCAGTGAAAGGACTTTCAGAAAAAGAAAGAACCAATTCAGCTACGCAGACATCACATATTGCACTGCCACATTGCTCTGCATCCCCCAACTGTAGCTGCTTGCATCCGACCGGCACTCCTCGGATCGCAACCCCCAGCACGAGTTTCGAGACTCGGCAACTGGTGCCTCCCTCCCACTAGGGATACTGCTGCCGGCACTCTGCCAGAGAATGCACCACTAAAGATGCGCATTCGGGAGCAAAAGCATGTTCGTGTCGCACAGCCGTCGATGTCATCCACAAACATTATAGCCTTCATGTAGTATGCATCTGGACCTTAAATGTCCCTGCCATCCTCCAAAAGGAACGACTCTGAGAAAACTTGAAAACGTTAGGGTGCCTTCAACTCCCGTGCTCAAGAAGAAACACCGTAGTGGAGTTGTCCTATTGCTGCTTTGCCTACGACACTAAGTGGCGGATTGATAAAAGAATGAACGCTTCTTCTCCTTTATAGGCAGTCAGTATCACCTGTAGACGAGACAGACTTTAGCTGCCATCTTAACGACGATACAAGCACAGGGGCATACACATGCGCATGGATCAGTGCTTGCGCTCGTGTCATGGCATCATGATGTGAATAAAGTGCAGGCTAGGAAGGCGTACGACAAAGTCGACTGGGAATTCTTGGATCTATGCCTCAAGAAAATGCACTTCGGCCGCCTCTTCTCTGCAAGCGGATCAGCATCTTCCACAGAACTGCATCGACTAACATTTCACTAAACGGCCACCTCGCCCCTCCGTTCGCTCGGCGAGACAAGGCGATCACGTATAGCTCCGATGCTGTTCGCCTTGACGATGAAGGCCCTCGCAGCATGCGGCAACGATGACCAGGTTCAACCGAGAAACTGTTTAGAAGACGTGACCAAAGATCGTAGTGTAGCGGAGCGGAAATCCCCGAGCGCCTGATCCCGATGAGCTCACTGTTCGGTGCTATCACGTACACAGACTGTAGAAATGTGTAGGCTTACACAGTTTGGATTGATACTCGTGTCATGGCATCATTCATGATGTTAATAAACTTCAATAAAGTGTACACATACCCAGACTGTAGAAATGTGTAGGATTCACAGTCAGTCTGGATTGATAACTGATTCCCCTTTTCAATATGCAGCAGCAACCACCACTGTACAGACAAGTGGGCACAGTAGGCAAGTCGAATTCACACTTCGATCCAATCTTGGAAATTGGTAGGACGTCTAAAATCTTGGAGCTGCAGACAAAAGAACAAAAAACCGAGACAGCATCCCCCGAAGCACAGAGCAACACAAAACACAAACACCGGATGATCTTAAGAGCTCTGCCCCGATACCATAAAAAAAGATGCAACTTGAATCACAAGAGCACATTATCCTCCCCATGGACCACCATTGCCTCGAAACAATCAGTTTGCTCCCATCGTTCAAGTCGTTTGATGAAAAAGAAATCGCATTCACGACACCACAGATCAACAACAACAACAATAAGAAGCCCACAAGCAAATGCAATCCGCTCCCTCCATCAACAGGCCAAGGTGATCGCCTCCCCCTCCCACTAGCCTTCGCCACTTTATCTGTCTTGCCGTCAATGACGCACCTGTGTGTGTGTGTGTGTGTGTGTGTGTGTGTGTGTGAGAGAGAGAGAGAGAGAGAGAGAGAGAGAGAGAGAG